AAGTCTCGTATAATGAATGGCATCTTTGATCAGCAGTTCAAAACTACGATCACTCAAAATTAGGCGATCCGCTATTGTTCGTATTTACCGTAATAGTTTCGAAACTCGCAAATTACCCCTTCATTAAAGGTCACCAAAATTAATTCGCGCGTTTGTTTTGAACGTACTTAACCTTAAGTAACACACACTTATTTATAGATAGTCATTTCTAAGCACGAATCCTCTTTTTAGAAATAAATCAACCGGCGTGAAAAGAGCGGCCAATCCTAGCGGCCAAAATTTCCGAACATACCCGAAGCGAAAATAAACCCTGCCACAGAATTTTTTTGCTCTTAATTCATTTTCCTCTAAATACTGAAACAATTCTATTTACAATGAAATAGAAAACCCTCTCATCAAGCAGAATTACGAGTCAATAAGGGTTGAACAAGCCACCCTCTTATCATATCTCCAAAACGGCACATACTATCACGATCAAATTTTCGTGGATGGCTAATGATAGTTCGAGAATATATAATCAACAAAAATACCCAGGTGCACTGCCGTCCAAGGGGTTGAAATAGTCACCCCCTTGTCGTATCTCGAAAACGGCACATACTATCACGATCAAATTTTCGTGGATGGCTAATGATAGTTCGAGAATAAATAATCAACAAAAATACCCAGGTGCACTGCCGTCCAAGGGGTTGAAATAGTTACCCCCCTGTCGTATCTCGAAAACGGCACATACTATCACGATCAAATTTTCGTGGATGGCTAATGATAGTTCGAGAATAAATAAACAACAAAAATACCCAGGTGCACTGCCGTCCAAGGGGTTGAAATAGTCATCCCTTTGTCGTCCTTCAAAAGCGATACATAATTGTACTATCTCAAAACTCTGCCAACTAAGACAGGAAGCGTGAAAGCCCCGGATTTAGGGATTATATATAACCCGGACATATCAACTGAATTTGATTAGAAATATTGGTCTAAAGAAATAGTCTTTGAAATTGTGCTTTATTAAGGAGCTCCTAGCGAGTTGATAATTTTGTGGTGGCTGTCCGTCTGTTAGCACGGTAACTCATAAACGAATGGACCGATTACGATGAAATTTTGCAGACGGATTCTTTACCAAATTTGCAGATCGGAGTTCGTGAATTGGCAATGTAGACCAAAAAATAAAGTAGGCCCTTTTGACATCTCCGTTAGTTATGAACCGAATTGCATGAAATTCAATATGCGCATAACTTTAGCCATATAAAACACAATTCCAAAAGTTGTGCCTAATCGATCAGTATTCACAGTGCCCTTTGCGCATCTCGACCATTTACAGACCGAATTGCAAAGTTTCTTATTTATGAAATTTGATACATAGCCACTTGCAATAAAAGCAAATTTAACGCCAGTTTAAAAATTTCGTTTTGCGGATGCGCAGTGGCAACTTTCTTATTTATGGATGCATTCAAATAAAATTTCATACATATACACTTTAAATAAGAGCAAAACTGACATCTGGCCACACCCAGGAGTAGGCAGGGGAATTTTTGTCGATATATCGATAGGTATCGATAGTTATCGATATATCGAATAACAATAGGTAGATCTAAAAAAATCGATATATCGATAGATCGATAACTATCGATATATCGATACTTATCGATAAGTATCGATATATCGATACCTATCGATATGTCGATGACGATAACTATTGATATATCGATATGTCGATAACTATCGATATATCGATATGTCGATAACTGTACGATAAAATTATGTTATTGTTGAGATTTCAACGAGCGCTACTATTTTTATTAATAAAATCCATTTTCGGGTTTACTCTCGTGTAAATTTACTATTTTTAGTCGCTCGACGTTTCGGAAACTTAACTTTGCTCCCTTTCTCAAGAGAAGCGCTACGTCACATCATCATCCATGCCAAATAAACGCAGTAATAAAATCTTTAGAAAATAGATCTTTTCGTCTTACTGACGATTGCTCAAAAAAAGAAGCACTTCAAAAACTTGAACAAAATGTTGCATCAAAATGGCTACTCTTTAGATAAAATAAAGAAGACAATCAAAGGGTGTAATCATGGCCTATGTATCGGTATCTGATTGATGGTTACAGAGGACCAGTCACAAAAAAAACAGAAAAAGCTAAGAACACTTCAAATTTAGATATACAGTTTCAATTGATTGACATTTACGAAATCTAACAAAAAACTCTTGATAAAGATAGCAAAGAAACGTCGAGTAACTATTAATGGTCACTTTACACGAGAATAAACCGGAAAATGGATTTTATTAATAAAACTCGATAAGATAACTATTCCTGTCGATAACTATCGATACGTCGAATATTTCTCTCAAATGAGACGTGCAATTACCGCTTAATTACAGCGGTAATTGCATTGTAGAAAGCTAAAGAGCCCTGCGATAATTGCACAGTTAATATGGTAACTCCAATAAAGAACTGCATTCGGTTATTTTTATATTTTGTTAAAAGAGCCCTCTTGTCTTGTCGGGCTCTTTCGCCAAAATATAAAAGTAAACTCATGCAGTTTTTAGACACGCTTTCAAAAAAATTATCGGTAATATTATATCGATACCTATATATTAAAAACTATCGCCATAACGAGAACTATTGATATACCGATACTTATCGATATAGCGGTAGTTATCGATCTTTCGATAGTTATCGGTGTATCTATAACCATCGATATTTCGATAATTATCGGCATATCGATAAGTAAAATATATCGATAGGTAAGTACCCGATACATCGATACCTATCGATAGTAATCATATATCGATAACTATCGATATATCGATAACTATCGATATATCGATAACTATCGATATATCGATAACTATCGATATATCGATAACTATCGAAATATCGATAACTATCGAAATATCGATAACTATCGAAATATCGATAACTATCGAAATATCGATAACTATCGATATATCGATAACTATCGATATATCGATAACTATCGATATTTCGATAATTATCGGCATATCGATAAGTAAAATATATCGATAGGTAAGTACCCGATACTTATCGATAGGTGAAAACAGTTATCGCGCCCATCCCTACCCAGGAGCTCGTTTGCTATATTTCTGTAATTTATTTTTTTATCACTGACTAGACTGTTTCAATATTCAATAAATTCCTTTCTTTGGTCCACTGTTATGCCACTAGTGAAAATATTCTTTCAACGTTGGCATTATGAGCAGGAATGCAAAAAAAGCACTAGTCACCCCTTGGACGGCAGTGCACCTGGGTATTTTTGTTGATTATTTATTCTCGAACTATCATTAGCCATCCACGAAAATTTGATCGTGATAGTATGTGCCGTTTTCGAGATCCGACAAGGGGTTGACTATTTCAACCCCTTGGACGGCAGTGCACCTGGGTATTTTTGTTGATTATTTATTCTCGAACTATCATTAGCCATCCACGAAAATTTGATCGTGATAGTATGTGCCGTTTTCGAGATCCGACAAGGGGGTGACTATTTCAACCCCTTGGACGGCAGTGCACCTGGGTATTTGTGTTGATTATTTATTCTCGAACTAGCATTAGCCATCCACGAAAATTTGATCGTGATAGTATGTGCCGTTTTCGAGATCCTACAAGGGGGTGACTATTTCAACCCCTTGGACGGCAGTGCACCTGGGTATTTTTGTTGTTTATTTATTCTCGAACTATCATTAGCCATCCACGAAAATTTGATCGTGATAGTATGTGCCGTTTTCGAGATCCGACAGGGGGGTGACTATTTCAACCTCTTGGACGGCAGTGCACCTGGGTATTTTTGTTGTTTATTTATTCTCGAACTATCATTAGCCATCCACGAAAATTTGATCGTGATAGTATGTGCCGTTTTCGAGATCCGACAAGGGGGTGACTATTTCAACCCCTTGGACGGCAGTGCACCTGGGTATTTTTGTTGATTATTTATTCTCGAACTATCATTAGCCATCCACGAAAATTTGATCGTCATAGTATGTGCCGTTTTGGAGATATGATAAGAGGGTGGCTTGTTCAACCCTTATTGACTCGTAATTCTGCTTGATGAGAGGGTTTTCTATTTCATTGTAAATAGAATTGTTTCAGTATTTAGAGGAAAATGAATTAAGAGCAAAAAAATTCTGTGGCAGGGTTTATTTTCGCTTCGGGTATGTTCGGAAATTTTGGCCGCTAGGATTGGCCGCTCTTTTCACGCCGGTCAAGGAAGGGAGCAATTCAATCTATTTTTTTCACTTTTACCATTTAT